TGCACAAACATTTAGTCAAACCAGAAAGTGCCCCATTTAAGAGTTTTATAGCAAACAAGGACAGAAAGTGGTTTGCATGATTTTCTCATGCCCCTTTTTTAGTGTGTATCTTTTTATAAGGCTCTTTGGAACAGTTGTTGGCCACCTGTCAATAATATAGTCTTTTATAGACTCAACCTTTTATTGTTCTCATGCCCTTGACATATAAAAAATGTCTTAGAAGCAAACCATTGTGAATATGGTAGGCAAAAATACCAACTTTAAATTTGAAAGGTTGTCTTTTGTTGCCTGAATTTTGAATGACACAAAGAGAATAGACATGTTACAAAATCCTCTATAGCAGTCACAAAAATAAACTCATTTTATCAAAATGTGGAGGAGTCAGTTCCTAATTGTCTATGGTAGTAGACTATGAAAAACTAAGGAAAGTAACATTGATAGAAAGGTGTAACCTTTTCACACAATTTTTAATTAATTTCAAGTGAAAATACTTGCATGTGATTCTATTAATTATGCAAATATTTTGGCTGTCTGAACAGCTGCACTAAGTTCTTTTTTGTAGAATATGACATCTAGTTATTTCTTGAGTTTCATCAAAAACTAAAGGTCTACATGTATTTTTTATTTACATTTTAGTACTGTTTTAATATACTAAAGGAACACAATCCTCTAATTTGTATGCAGGAATACATTTCTATCAAAAGGGATATTATATAAGCCTGTGGTTAAAAAGTTGCCTAAACTTTGTCTCAGTTTCTAATGCGTCTTTATGTGATAATACATAATAATAAATACCTAATAATAAAAACAACATTTCAAAACAATTGAAATTCTTCCTATTCCTAAAAAGGAATTCCTAAACATCCTTACACACATGCTGCCTTTCCAACTCTACCCTTCTTAACTCAGAGTCATATGAGGTCTGTGTGACTACAGGTTTAGTTTATTCATCGAAATGAAATTAACTATCACATTCTCCTGGTGTCTATGGGAGGGACCTCATGTTTCAGAGAGTAGACACTCTGAAATTATGCTTTCAGATTGCTCTTTAAAACATTTATACTCATTGAAACATGGTAGCTAATTTGGTAAAATTTCTAGCTGTCAAACAATTTTAGGTGCAGTCCTCTTTCTGTGGATGTGTGATTATTTTAAGACAGTGTCGGAACAGAAGTAGACAGGCCTTCATCAACCGTACAGAAGTAGACAGCCCTTCATCAAGTGTACAGTGCTGAAGATTTGATCTTTCAAAGGGCGTGTTAATTGAAACACATGCAAGGTGCATTGAAAAGATAAGACATCTACTAAAGTATGCAGAGTGAATTAGTTTTCTTTACGTTAATCGGGCCTATTTGCCACCACATTTTACTGGTTTCTTTGTATCTTATTTTCTTTCAGGTTCAGTGGGTATTTTTATAGCTGCCCACAGAATTGTCTATGAATATTCTACCTCTGTGTTCTCAATGTAAATATACTTGGAATAAAATAAACGAAATAGTGTTATCTGCGAGTAGTTGGTTAATAGAATTTATGATAATATTGTTAAAATAGAAATATATTTGTATTTAGAATGCATTCTTTTCCTAGTTATCTAAGTAAACTTTAGAAGTGTTTATTATCAGTGTACATAAAACTGCACATTAAACAGTGCAGAAGTTTTCATGACTACCTTTCTGCTAGCCATACAAACTGCCTTGTATGTTTGAATTATAAATATATTTTTGAAAATAAAATAATGAAGCAAATCTGTTCAAGAGCCTGCCATGAATATCAAAATATGTAATTAAACCAAATGGTAAAGAACATATACAAAATATCTTCTTCAGGAGCCTTGCTGTTAGTCTAATGTGATAAACAGACTTTCATAAAAAAACCTCAATACATGAACTTAAATTGCAATGAGCATAATACTGAAAACATGGACAATTCTGAGAGTATATAAGTAGGAAATTTCCCCAAATTTTGTTGTCAGTTGTCCATAAATTATTTTCAAAGATACCAAAATTCAAAGTGAATTTTTGAATTTTTTTCAAAGAATTAAAACATAAATTCATTTTATTTTTAATGAATTTAGACAGAAACTTAGAGATTAAGCTAAAATTTGGAACAGAATAATTTAAAATCTTTATTTTGTCTAGAATAATTTTCAAATTTAAGAGCTAGTGAGTGCTCTATAGTTCTGCTTCATATTTTTTCTGGTTTTGTTTTTCTTTTCAGGAAAATAGGTGCTTTTTTCTGTCTTATATATATAATAAATAAGGTTTTTCTGTTTTAAAATAGATTTGATGTCAATCACATGTGTATAATAAAATTTCTATAATATATTAATTTAATCAAGTCAAAATGCACCAAGAAACATTTCGTTGAACTTTGCTAAGTAAGGATATAATTATACCAATAGTCAGTGCCTCTTATGCCTCATTGATTAGCATTTTGTTTATTTCACAGCTCTATTATTCCATTTTTAACAAAGTCAGCATCTTCAAATTTTAAACATCTTCCTAGTTAAACAAGTTTAAGGAAAATTTCAAACTGAATATAAGCACATCCTTTCCATTTTCTTCTTTTAGATTGTTTTATATGAAAGTATTTTGGCCTCATATTATGAACACTGGGATAAATCAAAATTAGGAGTCAGAATCGAAATCTAAAATCCAGGATGGTTTTATTTTTCACTCAAGATATGAGCATGTTGTATCCCTTCCCTTTTTGTATCCTGTTTTTCTCATTCATAAGATTAATCATTTGGCCTATACTGATTCATTTTTCAGTAGCAAAAGCTTTTTTTCAGACAAAATCATGTGCACAATGGCAACACATGTAAAAATAATAATATCAATAACGGATCACTTATAAAAGTAGCAATGAGGCAGGAGAGAATTAGAATATGGGTGGGGGATGCAGGGGCAATCCTATTGCTTCTCAACTTCTCGTACAAGTTATGAATATGCTTTAGATTAAATCACATGACCCTTCAACATCCATGGATGGTATGAATCATATAATTATATAATCTTTACATTTCTTTAAAATCTTAGCATAATATAATTCGCAATATCATAAGTTGATAATTTTTTACAAAATCACTGGAGTTAAATTAAACACAGGGGAAGAAAGACCTGGTACAGTCCCAGGATATGGTTTGTAGCAGAGTTCATACTTCACGTGTGTGAAGCCCTGGTTTGATCTCTGGAGCAGCAGCACAACTGCAAAATAATTTCTATGTGCAAATATAAGTAGCTTCTAATATATGCTAAGAAGTCTAAGCTAAATCTATCATATTAAAGCCAGTGACTTAAGTATCCCATGAAATAGCATTGTCATACCAAATAATGTGTCCTTTGAAAGTGAATATGTTGATAAAGATCTAAGTAGCTCTGCAGTTTCAGAAAATTACAGAATATTCGTAGTTAAATTTTCTTATTCATCTTTGATAAAATAGAGGACATGAGTGAACATTAATTCTGAGAATAAATATAAAGATGAATATTTTTAAGTATTCAAGTATTATTTATATTATTTAAATATTATTATTATTTAAATATTTAAAGGCAAATTTAAAAAAAAAATACTTCCCTTGTTTGGTTACCAGAGAGTAAAAACTCATATTGACATATTAGCAATTAGACTCTTGCAACCCTGGTGTCTAACAATCTAAAGTAGTGTAGAACACAGCATGTTCTCCAAATAGTTAACTGCTCTGAACGAAAACAGATCTTCAGGCAATTAAATTCTTCACAGGAGTCATTTTCTTGGATGTATTTGGTATTATAAGGCAGAGGAAATAAATTTGTTTTCACTGTAACTCACTTTTTTTTCATTTTTCTTTTTCTTTATCTTTTCTTTCTTCTTTTTTTTTTCTGACTTTTCCGAGCAAGGGTTCTCTAGATACCTAAAATTAGGAGAATGAATAAAAGTAGACCTTTAATAATCCCCAGGGGAGCCAAAGTTAAATTGCCTCTGCAGTTACCTTTTATAGCGTTCATGACACAGTTTTGCTTTTTTTGCAAAATACAGACAGTAGATCACCACTTCCCAGCAGTTGTGTACAGAGACCTACTTTCATAATACTTCAGGGGAGTTAATGTGCTAGATCTTGGAGTGCCTTTCTGGAAGGTGAAGTTGTTTCGGGAGGGCAGATGATCCTTGAACTCTCTTACAATAAAAATCATGAAGAGGGAAGGTAGGGCAAGAATGAGGCATTATGAAAGGGCTATTTCTCAAGCCAGAGGAAAACAGCAAAGGAGACAGACCCAATATTGATTCCAAAGGAAGGTCACACTGAGGTTTTTAAGACTACTTTTTGTTATAAGTAATGCATGTAATGCATGGGGCTGGAGTGATAGCACAGCAGGTAGGGCATTTGCCTTCAATGCAGCCGACCCAGGTTCCATTCCTCTGCCCCTCTTGGAGAGCCCAGCAAACTACCGAAAGTATCCTGCACACATGGCAGAGCCTGGCAAAGCTCCCCGTGGCATATTCAATATGCCAAAATCAGTAACAACAAGTCTCACAATGGAGTCGTTACTGGTGCCTGCTCAAGCAAATCAATGAACAACAGGACAGTGACTGTGAAGTAATGCATGAGTAATTCATAATTTTACAAGTGCATGGCAAGTTTGGTTCCTAAGAGTTATGTTCCACCTCCTTTCGGGCTTTAGGAGGCTCAGTTTGGGAGTTGTGATAGCAATTGTGGATTTGCTTGTGTAAGTAGCTGTGTATGATCTAGCATGCTAATATGTTGCTTTAAGGAATTTCAGGAAAAGTAGGTCTTGTGAGGAAAAATAGGTCAGTGTATGGTTGTCTCTGGATGCCATCTTGGATTCTTCTGTCATTGAAATATTCAGAAGACATATCTTAAGCTCCACTGCAGTGTGTCAGTTAAATGGAGATGAATTTGTGCAAGAATGCATGCCAGACATCCAGATGGTTCATTGCCTGTGTCTAGATGATTTGTACTTTTACTCTAGAAGCAGTGTTAACCGCTATCTTGTTTTCAGGTACATGGGGGCGTTGCATGGGAGATGAATGTGGTCCAGGAGGCATTCAGACGCGGGCTGTGTGGTGTGCTCATGTGGAAGGATGGACAACATTACATGCAAACTGTAAGCAAGCGGAGAAACCTAATAACCAGCAAAACTGTTTCAAAGTTTGTGACTGGCACAAAGAGTTGTATGACTGGAGGCTGGGACCCTGGAACCAGTGTCAGCCGGTGATTTCCAAACGCCTGGAAAAGCCCTCAGAGTGCATTAAAGGGGAAGAAGGAATTCAGGTGCGAGAAATCACATGCATCCATAAAGAGAAAGACATTCCTGCAGAGGATATCATTTGTGAGTACTTTGAGCCCAAGCCTCTGTTAGAACAGGCTTGCCTCATCCCCTGCCAGCAAGATTGCATTGTATCTGAGTTTTCTGCCTGGTCAGAATGTTCCAAGACTTGTGGAAGTGGGCTCCAGCACCGGACAAGACATGTGGTGGCACCCCCCCAGTTTGGGGGTTCTGGCTGTCCAAACCTGACAGAGTTTCAGGTGTGCCAGTCTGGCCCGTGTGAAGCTGAGGAGAGCATGTACAGCTTGCATGTGGCTCCCTGGAGCACGTGCTCCATGCCTCACTTGAGACAAGTAAGACAAGCCAGAAGACGTGGCAAAAATAAAGAACGAGGCAAGGACAGAGGGAAAGGAGTGAAGGATCCAGAGGCTCGTGAACTTATTAAGAAAAAGAGAAACAGAAACAGACAGAACAGACAAGAGAACAAATATTGGGACATCCAGATTGGATATCAGACCAGAGAGATTACGTGTACTAACAAGTCAGGGAAAGCTGCTGATCTAAGGTAAGGATGTTTTTTTACTATTAACAACATGTGTGTTATGTGTCTGTCTAAGATAAGGAATAAAAATGATGCAACTCCTGGAACTTATCCATGCAATATCAGTATAAAGTTTTCTCTCATAAGGCAAAATTTTTGTGAACTTCCTGTCATTGGTTCTATTTTCCTTGTGCTTCGATGGTCTACTATTTGAATTTATTTTCATCTTTCCTGTTGTAGTCAGAAAATAGTCAAACTATTCTTCATGAAATTATATTACTTCTTTAGGTCAATAATGATGTTTCCATCTATAATAGGGAGAAGACATACTTATAGGCTAGAATTTAGGAATTTCAAATTCACATCCTTATTTTACTGTGAAAGGGCACACTTAAATATACACTCAATTTATAGTATTTTCATAATTACCCTGCAAACAAAATCTGAACAAAATGATACAGGGAGTTTTAGTTAAGAATAATTCCTTTCACAATTTGTAAAGTGGAATAACTGTACAGGGGACAAACACAGAACCTTTTGGGGGTTGGGGCCAGAATATAAGGAAAACAGAGATTATCTAATAATGATTGATCTCACTTAGAAATATGTAAGCAATTTTCTTCATCTTTAAGATAAATTATTTGTCAAATTACCTCTGAAATAAAAAATGCCTATATAATAAAAGACTTTCATCAGATATAATTTGTAGTTAAATATTTATTAAGAATGATTTATTGAGGATTCCCTAAATGATATGTTTTCTATCTTTTACACATTTAGAACATCCATTCTAAATTTTGCTCTTGGATAAGCCTGGCCATCTGGGAGTGGCTTATCTGGATCCTTTGCATAATTGCTTTTTCCCTAAATATTTATGCAGCTATGATTTGGAATAAGCTGAAGAAAATTATGGTAAAACCACTGAGAATATTATTATAACATATTATAAAATGGGACTGACAATGTCATCCACTCCATCGCAGTCCGTTCTGTTGATTAAAAACACGTAAGATAAATTTAACTGAGTCTCAGTCAATGCATTTCTGAGTAGCTGGATTGTTTTTCTTTGAACCCTGGAAATCTTATATAACAAATCACAGTCTTCTGTCTGCTTTGGCTTCTGAACATCTGTAGGATTTTTGTGGTGTGTGTATAATTTACTAACATATCCTGCTGTCTTCATCTTTTTCTCACCCTCGTTATTTTCCTTCACTCCTTGTCTAGTAATTTTGCTGTCTAAGCATTTTGAAAGTCTGTTTAAATGTATTTTATGGAACAAGATATAGTTTGAATAAATGAATCAACAGACAACCTAGTGATTCATCTGCCTGAAACAAAAATTCCTCACATCATGTTTGTTATGGGTGCTATATTTAGGAAGTTTGCTATTCCCTCCCCTCTTTATGCTTGAACAGTTGGATTTTTCCCTCAACTGTTCAGCAGTTTGCTTTTTCTCCATTCTTGTATCATTAGGTCTTTCTTTTTCTTTGCATTTTTTGTTCTTGCCACTGGTTTGTTGTTCTGCCTTCATTTTTCAAATCCTGTGTGTGTGTGCGTGTGTGTGTGTGTGTGTGTTTGTGTGTGTGTGTGTGGTGTGTTCTCAATTCAATCTCTTTTCTGATTATCCTTATTCTGGGATTTCCTTGATCTGTTTTGCTGAAGTATTACAATTATGTTCGTCATGTGGCTTCCACAAAGTTAATTGAATGAGCCCCCAAGGCAACTTGAGTTGTCTGCTGCTGTCTCACTGAGTTAACATGTTGTAGACATTTAATTTCATGTTGACTAATCAATTAAAAGCATAATTAGGAGAATAGCTGCTGCTGCATAGAATCTAATGTTTAAAAAAAACTGGGGTTTAAGTACCTGTAGATCAGTTGTCATTTGTTTATATACCTCTAGAAATACCTATTTATATAAAAATTTATTTTCATGTTAAAACTTCATGGGACTAATTAAACCTTATGTTAAAAAGTGGTTAGTAACATTCTCTTATTGAATAACTATATATTAATAAATGTTTATGGATAAAATGTTAAAGACAGTGAGGAAGAGAAAAAATCATGTATTTTGGTTCACATTTTGCCTAAGCATTTTTACCATATCACCGAAATTAATAAAGTGAAGAATCAGTTAAATACCAACAAGAAACAGAGCCATAGCTCATGAGCTCAGTGATTAGGTTTCAAAGTATCCTCTTATTTCAAACTAAGAAACAACCTTATCATGTAAGAAGATAAACAATAATTTAAAATTATAAATTTAAATTAAACAATAATTTATAAGATAAACAATAATTTAAATTAATTTAATTAATGGCTAAAAATTTCTATTGCCACCCTGAGAAAAATTGCCTAGATACACTTAATATTAGGAAATAGTTTGCTGAAAAGTAAAAATAATTTTAGCTAAGTAACTTCTTACCTTGCTACTCTTAACTGAGTATCTACAACTTCCAAGTTAAGGAAGATAGATCTTTCCTGACTTTTGCTTTCAAATAGGCTGAAATCAGTAACAATGAAAAACACAAATTGAAGTTATTTTTTAGGAAAGGAGAGCTAGTCGCAGTTCCAAATCAATAGCTAATAGAGAATTTTTAACCAATTTGGTGAAATTAGACCTGAGAGAAGGAAAGAAAATACAATGTCTCTGCAGCTTTCATGAACACTCAAAATCTCGGTTTGTACTGAACTTTCTGCGTGTGTAAGCCAAAAATATCCCTAGAATGGCATGTTCATTGATAATGGACAGACTGCAGAAGCATCTTTGAGTTTGATTTGAAAGCAGAATGGCCTAATAGGTAGGACTGCTATACTATAGAAAAGATTGATTTGATGGACTGAGTGATAAAAGCTTTGCTGACTTGTGGAAGAGAGCTTTAACTCATTATATACACACCATGGTACACTGTGCTTGCCTATAAACCAGTGAGTTTCAGCTAGGCTTAAACGTTTACACCTTAGGTCAGATTGGGTATAAAAGTGCATATACTAAAGTATAAAAGCAGAAATTATTGAAATTTTTTAAGAAGGGTTTGGAATGTGGAATACATTTTACAGTGATTTGAGTAACTGGAGGGATGCCTTAACCTTTATCCTAGTTAAGGATTAAGATGTCCCATTAAGGGTTAAAGCTTATGCCTTGCCTGTGACTAAATCTAGATCAATTCACAACAACTCCTGTTTCCTTAAGCATCCCCAGGCACAGCCCTGGAAGCCCCCTGTTATGTCATTGGCTTTACTTTAAGAAAAGGGAAAAGGATTTAAAAAATTTCCTATTTACCACAGTTTAAAATATCTGTACTTAAGTCTTACATAAAAGTTTCTACTATAAAAGTTCTACACATAAAACCATATTTATAAGAGTAAACTAGTAGATGAGTACCTATCTGAAACATGGGGTAAACATACTAATTGTCACGATACTGTTATTTCAGAATAAGCTAAAATATAATATAAAAATTGAGGAAAATTCTGGAATTAAGTGTAGAAATATCCCACTATTTTAAACAGAATTATAACCTATAAAAGCAGTACTGAACAGACCAAACAAAATATTGTTTAACAAAAAGATTCTTAGTCCCCTACTATAAATAAGATTTGTTTCATAAAAGCAATCTAAATTCCATTAATAAAATTCTAGTTAAATCATGGAGCTTCAATGTCTGAAATATCATGCAACTAGTACTAGCTGAGGTGTATTTCACCTCTGTGTGGGTGCTGTATGCAGAAGCACTATATAGTAGATGCCTTATGAATAGAGTTTAATCTCTAAATTTTTGTATTTAAGCTTCTCATTGTATTCTCGAAAGGAAGGAAGGGAGATGATAGAGTTCTCTGGGGTCCCTTGGAAGGGGATTAGTTCAATTTATGAGCTTCCATCCTCTTGATTCAGTTACCACAGAGAGGCCTCCCTCTTTGTTTTCACACTGTGCTCTAGGATATCAATACAGGATTTGGGGAAACTTATTCAGTCTGTGCAATGTATGACTTCTAATCCATTTTGAGATAGTGCAGGCCATTTTTATTCACTCTCTTGATATAAAATTAACTAGAAACAACAGTAAAGATTTATTTAAACAAGTTTATTTAAACAAATCTATGTAGGTTTTTAAAAAATTATGAGTAAAGTTTTTACATGAAAATCAGGATCTGAAGGAAAATTTCCTCAAGCCAGATCCTCATATCAGTATTACAGAGGGGTTGTATCTGGCATGCTAAACAAGCTGGATCCAGCATCTCTGCTTACCAAGATAACTCAGAGAGATAGGGCAGGGACTAAGGCATTGGCCTTTCTGTTTGCACTCTGCCCTCTTCATTTCAATCCCAAAATCCTGATCACTGCCAAAATTCATCCCCAAACAGAGTCAAGAGTAAGCCCTGAGCAAAGCCAAAAGCAAAGAACAAAAAGAATTGATGAACAATGTGGAGAAAAGAGACAACTGTCTCCAGAAAACAACCAACATAGTCTGGGATTTAAGGCTTTGCTCTATGTTGCCCTCACCTCTTGAAGACTTGTGGCCACCTCCTATGAGATAAAGACCCAATATTGCATTTAAAAAAGGGCACAGGATATTTATGAAGGACTGTGACACGCTCTCTAAGTAACATTATTGAAAGTACTTTTGAAAGTATCTTCCTTTTCAAAAGTGCTTCATTCTGTTGTATTATCTGATATAGGTATTTATTTGTAAGTATGAATCTAATATAAGCACTGCTAATAAATGAGAAATTCAGCACAATAAATAAGAAGTTAAAAACAAATGAATGTTGGGGCTGGAATGATATGACAGCAGGCAGGGTTTAGCTATAGGACAGCAGATAGGCAGTTTTTACCTTCATGCAGCTGACCTGATTTCTATCCCCGTCACCCCACATGGTCCCCTAAGGCCACCAAGAGTGATCCCTGAGAGCAGAGCCAGGAGTAAGCCTTGAGCACAGCTGGATATGGCCCAAACACCAAAACAAGACACAAGAAAACAAATTTCTGCTGACTAATAAATAATCAGTGGGTCTATCCAACTT